ATTCCTTCCAGCTCAATTGGACTCAGTCTTCAGTCAGTGGCAACAGACAGGTCTTGTTAAATTTAGTGATCTTTTCATTGATGATTTTTCGCCTCTTTTTCCAGCCTCTCCTCAAAATATAATCTGCCAAATTCACACCTGTTTAGATATCTTCAGGTTCGTCATCTAATTCAAAATCTTTGTCCCACATATCCATCCATTCCTCCCAGTACAGGATTGGATGCAATTTTAAACATTCCCTTACTTTTGAAGGGAGTAATTTCTAATGTATATAATATTTTAATGTCAATTAAAAAATGTCTAAAGATTTGGCAGTGGTCATATCAGAGGAAACCTGGAATAATAATCCAGACTGCTGGATTACGGGACAACTATATTTAAAATTTTGTCTGAGGCATATGTTAAGGATATCAGGCCTAGTTTTGAGATGGCTGTCTTTGGAGTACCTAAACAAGATGTGGTCATGTCCAAAAAGTGTCAAGACGCATGCGCTTTTGCATGTCTTTTGGCTCGTAGAAGAATATTGCTTGATTGGAAGTCAAGTAAACCACCCTTAGTTTCACTCTGGCTTAGTGATGTGATGCTGTTTTTGAAACTGGAGAGAATAAAATATTCTCTTAGAGGATGCACCAAACGTTTTTATTCTGTATGGACCCCAATGATTTCTTATTTTGAAAAGGATGCAACTCTTCCCCCAAACTAAAACTAATTTTTGATAAGGCCTGTGCACATTGGATCGGATGACGTAATCCGACACAGTTGGCTAAAAATGTTGTCAATTATTTCCTCACTGTTTGTAACATAAGAACTTCGATATACTTTTTATTTATTTATTTATTTATTGTTTTGGTTTTTTGGGGGGGGGTTTTGTTCAGTGACATTGTAAAAACAAGGAGTATTGTTAAACTCTTTCTGTATGTGTTACGTCACTTTGTTCTTCCTTCAATAAAATATATATTAAAAAATAAAAAATAAATAAAATCAGGCAAACACCTTTTTCAGCTTAAGGCTTTATTGTTCTACTAATACCATGGCACTGCTGGCCGTGTTGGAAAGCAGCCTGCGTCGCTCTTTAACAAGCCGGTAAATAAATTTCACTTTCTGTTAACGCCGCATTAAAAGCATATTCACTCTCTGCAGAGCAAACGTAGACTTCCCACTGTAACATAAGTTAGATGATCACTAGATTGATTCTGATATATTAACAGTATCCTGTTGTTGAAAAGAGCATTGCTTTCTTTTGATGGATATTAGCCTGTTTTTTTTCGCATCAGTTACTATGTGTTTTATAACGATGTCCGACAGTGAGTCCATAAACAGAATGTCGCCCGTCAAACTAATCTTGGCTTTCACTCAGCAGCTACCAGCTGTTATTAATTCAGGAAACAATCATTTTTGAGATGCACAGAGAGAGAGAAAATATGGTGGTTTAAACAGTCCTGTTGGGCTTTACACATGACGCACAGCTTCCTCTGTATGTAGTTTTCATCAACAACGAGCTGCTCACGTGTTACTGCCACAATCATTCTTTGCGTTGTGAAGAGAATTTATAATCAGATTGTATTGGCTGCCTGTGCTACTGCAAAGCATGTTTGGTTGGCTACATGTCCATAGACAAAGATACAAATGCTCCGTATTTATATAGCGCCTTTCTAGTCTTTTCGACCACTCAAAGCGCTTTTACACTACATCTGCATTCACCAGTCATACACATTCATACACTGAGCCTAAGTTGACTCTGTTGTGCTATTGACCTCATCAGGTCACCTCGTCACGTTTCAGCCTAAGTGCTCAAACGGAAACTAACATTCACACACATTCATACGGGGTTCAGTATCTTGCCCAAGGACACTTCGACACGCAACCGGGGAGCCAGGGATTGAACCGCCGACCTTCCGATTAACGGCCAACCCGCTCTACCTCCAGCAAACGTGATATTTGAAAAGTGATCTTAACACATTCATGGAGATTTAAAAAGGGAAATAATTGTTTTAAACAGAAATGGCTAAAGATAATCAACCAGTAAAGCAAATTGCATTCTCTAGAAATAACCATGTGGCAGCTGTTTCTAACCTGATAAACAGCAGATGAAATATATTATTATACTTTTACATGAGTAGGTTTGTAATTTTTTCCTCTAACTTTTTATGGGAGTAATTGTACTTTTTCTTGAGTAAAGATTTTGAGTACTTACCTGCAACTGACCAGTGGCACCAGTACTAGCACTGACATGGTGAACATGAGACAGACAGCAGAGATGAGGTCAATAGCACAACAGAGTCAAAGCCAGCACAGTCCAAAGCAGCAGTTTATGGTTAGATTGATGATGATATGACTTATTTAGTTATCTACTCAAGGGTTCAGCTGAAGTGAGTACTTTACTTTAGGAGAGTTAGTGGTGTTTCTAGTTTAGAAAATGTATTTTTAAGGCTCATTTAGTTATGTACTCTACATGCATAAATTTCTCAAGAATACAGGAGCATGTCATCAGAGTTTGCATTGAAGATACAGTGGGTACGGAAAGTATTCAGACCCCTTTAAATTTTTCACTCTTTGTTTCATTGCAGCCATTTTCCAAAAATCAAAAAAGTTCATTTTATTTCTCAGTAATGTACACTCAGCACCCCATCTTGACAGAAAAAAACAGAAATGTAGAAATTTTTGCAAATTTATTAAAAAAGAAAAACTGAAATATCACATGGTCATAAGTATTCAGACCCTTTGCCGTGACACTCATATTTAACTCAGGTGCTGTCTATTTCTTCTGATCATCCTTGAGATGGTTCTACGCCTTCATTTGAGTCCAGCTGTGTTTGATTATACTGATTGGACTTGATTAGGAAAGCCACACACCTGTCTATATAAGACCTTACAGCTCACAGTGCATGTCAGAGCAAATGAGAATCATGAGGTCAAAGGAACTGCCTGAAGAGCTCAGAGACCGAATTGTGGCAAGGCACAGATCTGGCCAAGGTTACAAAAAATTTCTGCTGCACTTAAGGTTCCTAAGAGCACAGTGGCCCCCATAATCCTCAAATGGAAGACGTTTGGGACGACCAGAACCCTTCCTAGAGCTGGCCGTCCGGCCAAACTGAGCTATCGGGGGAGAAGAGCCTTGGTGAGAGAGGTAAAGAAGAACCCAAAGGTCACTGTGGCTGAGCTCCAGAGATGCAGTCGGGAGATGGGAGAAAGTTGTAGTAAGTCAACCATCACTGCAGCAATCCACCAGTCGGGGCTTTATGGCAGAGTGGCCCGACGGAAGCCTCTCCTCAGTGCAAGACACATGAAAGCCCGCATGGAGTTTGCTAAAAAACACCTGAAGGACTCCAAGATGGTGATAAATAAGATCCTCTGGTCTGATGAGACCAAGATAGAACTTTTTGGCCTTAATTCTAAGCGGTATGTGTGGAAAAAAACAGGCACTGCTCATCACCTGTCCAATACAGTCTCAACAGTGAAGTATGGTGGTGGCAGCATCATGCTGTGGGGGTGTTTTTCAGCTGCAGGGACAGGACGACTGGTTGCAATCGAGGGAAAGATGAATGCGGCCAAGTACAGGGATATCCTGGACGAAAACCTTTTCCAGAGTGCTCTGGACCTCAGACTGGGCCGAAGGTTTACCTTCCAACAAGACAATGACCCTAAGCACACCGCTAAAATAACGAAGGAGTGGCTTCACAACAACTCCGTGGCTGTTCTTGAATGGCCCAGCCAGAGCCCTGACTTAAACCCAATTGAGCATCTCTGGAGAGACCTGAAAATGGCTGTCCACCAACGTTTACCATCCAACCTGACAGAACTGGAGAGGATCTGCAAGGAGGAATGGCAGAGGATACCCAAATCCAGATGTGAAAAACTTGTTGCATCTTTCCCAAAATGACTCATGGCTGTATTAGATCAAAAGGGTGCTTCTACTAAATACTGAGCAAAGGTCTGAATACTTATGACCATGTGATATTTCAGTTTCTCTTTTTTAATACATTTGCAAAAATTTCAATTGTCAAGATGGGGTGCTGAGTGTACATTACTGAGAAATAAAATGAACTTTTTTGATTTTTGGAAAATGGCTGCAATGAAACAAAGAGTGAAAAATTTAAAGGGGTCTGAATACTTTCCGTACCCACTGTAGCTCTGTGTTCACAAACTTTGTTGCAGAGAGAGTCAGGGCCAAGTGAGACACAAGAAATCACAGACAGCTCACATTAGGATAACTGAATACATTTGTACTGTGGCTAGCTACATTAACTAGCAGCTGTTCCATGGTTTTTATGTTAGTCAGTTTTGTTCTAGTTATATAATACTCCCTCTCTCTGACCCTCTGAGTTTTCATAATCTCCCCTCTCCAGTCTGTTCTCCATATTCCGTCACTGCAAATAGCCACACTAATAAGTACATTCTGTTTTCAAAAGTCATTAGAAATGTGCATTTAAGTGCTTTATTTTAAAAAAACAGGGGGGCCGAAACTCCCTAGCATTTCAGCGTCCCCCCCAGGTGCAAAGTCTCTCCTACGCCCCTGATTCTTTCACTCATATTCTTTGCCTTTATAATTACTATCTTTATGATAACAAACAACAGCTGTTTTGTCTGTAGGTTCGCGTCATTTCCCGTTTCACATTTCACCTATGTTTTCTTGACTAAACGTGGTTTGGAGACCAGCGTCGGTTGACAGAGTCCTTGTCAGCTGGTGTACTGTGTGACCGCTCAGTCACGTATTAGTGTGAACGCCACAACGACTTCAAGACTCCCGTCACAAGACGGCAAGTTGTGTAGTGTGAACGGCACGGCGATCAGCCGACGCTGAAAGTCGTGTAGTCTGCACGAGCCCTACAACACATCCTACAGGATTTCTCACACTTATGCTAATTTATTATCGACAATGTAACAACAAACTATACCCTATGTCTTTGTCAAGAGACAGTGCTACTTCTGAGTGTGTAATTTATGGACCGTATCACCAGCAAGACGCCAACACAAAGGACAACTTAGGCAACGTTACTTACCTATTATGGAGTGATTTATTCCAGTTTGGAAGAAAACTTCTCCGAGAGTTGCCGGGTGTGTAAATACCGTCATAACTCCATCTCGGGTACCTTCAGTTGTTCTGAAGAAACACTCAAGTATTTCTTAACACAAGTGTACACGATCTATCACACGCCGGCTGCCTCCACGGTCTTAAACTCTTGTAAGGAGCTATTGACTGGTTGTGTTGTTCTGTCTGTGGAAAACAAAGCATCCGTTTACACTTTCAAAGTAAAATACCTATCACTGTACCGAAGCACACTCAGTGTACTACTCAGAAGAAAATCTAAATTACAGTTACAGTTGATTTTCAGATCTGTGCTGATTGGAAACTTTCTGTGGAAAACTGTTTTCTTTCTCCAAAGTACCCAGTGCAGTGTAGGTCTATGTTAACCCATTCAATTGGTTTTTGAAATTAATGAGCAGACAATACAGTTGCACAACTTCAGTAGAAAATCAGTTGGTCTAATATAAATCAATTCCCACATTTACCCTAGATAAATACTTTAATGGAACAAGATAATAATATCAATGACATTTAACATCAAAATCCATGCTTTTAATTTAAAGGTGAAGCCACACTTCTCCTGCTGTTTCTTCTTCTAAATGGCTTGATGCCCCTGTATCCGGCCCCCCAAAAGGAACAAAAACAAACTCTGCATTAACGATCCTATCACGTGTCCCGACTGGGAAAGATTGAGGGTTTACCTCTAGGTCAGAGCAATAAAAACTTTCCATGATGTAATTAAGAATAAGCCAAAGTACATTTTAAGAACATAATAATGACAAAACAACTTAATCATGAAAATTTTGAATCACTGAAATGGAAGGAGAATGTTTGTTTCCACTTCTTTATAATGACGCATCCTGAAAAAAGGTAGGGATTTTCAGTTTTATGAATTTATAACACTTTGTACATACTTATTTTATTATATACAGGACATACAGAATATGTCAGAATGGAAACCCTATGTTTAGGAATCTATCTAAGTGAAATAAATGTAATTCAATTCAATTTTATTTATATATTGCCAATTTACGACAACAGTTATCTCCCTCTCCCAGTTATCTCTTTTGATATAGGGCAGGGCCCCGTTTCAGAAAGCAGGATTAGTGAAAGCATGTTAAGCCTGAGATGAGGGAAACTCTGGGTTTTCTGTTTCAGAGACCAAGATTAGATAAACCCTAGATCAGTAACTGGCAACTCAAATGCTTGAGAACCTAACCTCCACACGAGGAGGTTTACTTCAACAATCTCTCTCTCTGACTCACCTCCTCTGTAGCCTGAAGCAGTTGTCTGACACACCGTTTCATTTCCTCATTCATACTGTCAATATCAAAGCACATAGCAGAACGCATTCATATGCAGAAGTTTACATCTTTAGAAACATCAAATTCCAAGTTAGATATTATGTTACCCAAACATGATCTTGAACACAGTTTTTATGATCAATCTGTCAATGATGTAAGGACAGAGACAGTTATCTAAGGACATCGTGGATTTGTCCCCAGCTCAGAATAAAATATATAGGCTACACTGTCCTTTGTAAGAAATACTTGAGTATTTCGTCAGAACAACTGAAGGTACCCGAGATGGAATTATGACGGAATTTACTCTCCAGGAACCATCACCTTATCGTGGTGGAGAGGTTTGTGTGCCCCGGTGAGCCTGGAGGCTGTGTTGTCTGGAGCCTAGTGCTCCTGGTAGGGTCTCCCAAGGCAAAGTGGTTCCAGCTGAGGGGCCAGGCTGAGAATGGTTCATAAAGACGCCTGATGAAACAATGAGGAAGAGGAGGAGAGACCCTGCCCGGAGGAAGCCCGGGGCCCCCGTCTGAAGCCAGGCCTAGAGGGAGGGTGAGCGAGAGGGTCACCTCCCTACGCCTTCGGGTAGTGGGGGACTGTTTTTTGTGCATATTCACCAAGACCTGCCCTCAAACGGCACCAACTTATCTCTAAACTCAGGAACCTTAGAAACAGCCGTAGAACCAGATATACAGTGGGTACGGAAAGTATTCAGACCCCTTTAAATTTTTCACTCTTTGTTTCATTGCAGCCATTTTCCAAAAATCAAAAAAGTTCATTTTATTTCTCAGTAATGTACACTCAGCACCCCATCTTGACAGAAAAAAACAGAAATGTAGAAATTTTTGCAAATTTATTAAAAAAGAAAAACTGAAATATCACATGGTCATAAGTATTCAGACCCTTTGCTCAGTATTTAGTAGAAGCACCCTTTTGATCTAATACAGCCATGAGTCGTTTTGGGAAAGATGCAACAAGTTTTTCACATCTGGATTTGGGTATCCTCTGCCATTCCTCCTTGCAGATCCTCTCCAGTTCTGTCAGGTTGGATGGTAAACGTTGGTGGACAGCCATTTTCAGGTCTCTCCAGAGATGCTCAATTGGGTTTAAGTCAGGGCTCTGGCTGGGCCATTCAAGAACAGCCACGGAGTTGTTGTGAAGCCACTCCTTCGTTATTTTAGCGGTGTGCTTAGGGTCATTGTCTTGTTGGAAGGTAAACCTTCAGCCCAGTCTGAGGTCCAGAGCACTCTGGAAAAGGTTTTCGTCCAGGATATCCCTGTACTTGGCCGCATTCATCTTTCCCTCGATTGCAACCAGTCGTCCTGTCCCTGCAGCTGAAAAACACCCCCACAGCATGATGCTGCCACCACCATGCTTCACTGTTGAGACTGTATTGGACAGGTGATGAGCAGTGCCTGTTTTTTTCCACACATACCGCTTAGAATTAAGGCCAAAAAGTTCTATCTTGGTCTCATCAGACCAGAGGATCTTATTTATCACCATCTTGGAGTCCTTCAGGTGTTTTTTAGCAAACTCCATGCGGGCTTTCATGTGTCTTGCACTGAGGAGAGGCTTCCGTCGGGCCACTCTGCCATAAAGCCCCGACTGGTGGATTGCTGCAGTGATGGTTGACTTACTACAACTTTCTCCCATCTCCCGACTGCATCTCTGGAGCTCAGCCACAGTGACCTTTGGGTTCTTCTTTACCTCTCTCACCAAGGCTCTTCTCCCCCGATAGCTCAGTTTGGCCGGACGGCCAGCTCTAGGAAGGGTTCTGGTCGTCCCAAACGTCTTCCATTTGAGGATTATGGAGGCCACTGTGCTCTTAGGAACCTTAGGTGCAGCAGAAATTTTTTTGTAACCTTGGCCAGATCTGTGCCTTGCCACAATTCGGTCTCTGAGCTCTTCAGGCAGTTCCTTTGACCTCATGATTCTCATTTGCTCTGACATGCACTGTGAGCTGTAAGGTCTTATATAGACAGGTGTGTGGCTTTCCTAATCAAGTCCAATCAGTATAATCAAACACAGCTGGACTCAAATGAAGGTGTAGAACCATCTCAAGGATGATCAGAAGAAATAGACAGCACCTGAGTTAAATATGAGTGTCACGGCAAAGGGTCTGAATACTTATGACCATGTGATATTTCAGTTTTTCTTTTTTAATAAATTTGCAAAACTGAGAAATAAAATGAACTTTTTTGATTTTTGGAAAATGGCTGCAATGAAACAAAGAGTGAAAAATTTAAAGGGGTCTGAATACTTTCCGTACCCACTGTATGTTTAGACTGTTTTGCTTCTCTCAATCTTTACCAACTAACTTCAATAATTTCTTCATCTAAACCATCAACCTGCCTTTTAGACCCCATTCCGACTAGGTTGCTTAAAGATGTTTTATCCTTAGTCAGCACTTCTATACTAGATATGATCAATCTATCTTTATCAACAGGCTATGTACCACAGTACTTTAAAGTAGCTGTAATTAAACCTCTTCTAAAAAAAAACAAACTTGATCCAGATGTTTTAGCCAACTATAGACCTATATCTAACCTTCCATTTCTCTCTAAGGTTCTGGAGAAAGCAGTTGCTAAACAGCTGTGTGACTTTCTACAGAGCAATAGTTTATTTGAGGATTTTCAGTCAGGGTTTAGAGCTCATCATAGCACAGAGACAGCACTGGTGAAAATTACTAATGACCTCCTTATTGCATCAGACAAACGACTTGTCTCTGTACTGGTTTTATTAGATCTTAGTGCTGCATTTGATACCATTGACCATCAGATCCTATTGCAGAGACTGGAACATTTCATTGGCATTAAAGGAACCGCTCTAAGCTGATTTAAGTCCTATTTATCAGATCGATTTCAGTTTGTACATGTTAATGATGAGTCCTCCATGCATGCCAAAGCTAGTCATGGAGTTCCACAAGGATCTGTCCTCGGACCAATCCTCTTCACTTTATATATGCTTCCTTTAGGCAATATTATCAGGAAATATTCCATAAACTTTCATTGTTATGCAGATGATCCTCAGTTATATCTATTGATCAAGCCAGATGAAACTCATCAGTTAGCTAAACTTCAAATGTGCCTTCAGGATGTTAAAACCTGGATGACCTGTAATTTTCTAATGTTAAACTCAGATAAAACTGAAGTTATTGTTCTGGGGCCTAAGCACCTCCGTGACGCATTATCTAAACATATAGTTTCCCTTGATGGCATCGCCCTGGCCTCCAGCACCACTGTGAGGAATCTTGGAGTTATCTTTGATCAGGACATGTCGTTTAAGTCTCACATTAAGCAAATTTCAAGGAACGCCTTTTTTCACCTACGTAATATTGTGAAAATCAGGAACATGCTGTCTAAAAATGATGCAGAAAAACTAGTCCATGCATTTGTTACTTCTAGGCTGGATTACTGCCATTCTTTATTATCAGGCTGCTCGAAAAAGTCCATTAAGACTCTTCAGCTGATCCAGAATGCTGCAGCACGTGTTCTGACAGGAACCAGGAAAAGAGATCACATTTCTCCTGTTTTAGCTTCTTTGTATTGGCTTCCAGTAAAATCCAGAATAGAATTTAAAATCATTCTTCTTACCTACAAAGCTCTTAATGGTCAGGCACCATCTTATCTTAAAGAGCTCATAGTACCTTACTACCCCACCAGAGCACAGTATAGACCTGAGTATGGTCTAGACCTGCTCTTTTATGAAAAGCGCTGTGAGATAACTGTTGTTGTGATTTGGCGCTATATAAATAAAATTTAATTGAAAATTGAATAAAACCGTGCGTACGCACATCTGTAAGCAAGTTCCCTTTATAAATCAAAATCAACTTGAAATGTAAGCTCCACGTCTGACCCTTCAAACGCCCATAGTTGCCTATAAATGGTCAG